ATAAAATACTGGGAAGTATGTTGCTTTCTACTCACTCACTGACAATATTACCAGAGGGTGCCATGTGGTGGCAGTCTGAAGCAGCAGCTCTTCAATTTTTGTTTTTGAAGGGTACTTTTTCCATTTTATATCTATTTTTTTATATTCACCTTTTCTGTTATTCTTCTGTTGTACTTTAGCTACAATAAATGCAGTACTGAGGAGGTAGTATTATGTACATCACCAGGACTTAGCTGCATGCGGATCTCAAGGACAACTCAGAGTTCCCAGCATTTCATGGAAAAAAAAAAAAAGATTTCCTGAGCTTTCCCTGATTTTTCTCTTGATGTTCCTCGCACATATGTGAAAATTTAAAAAAACGTTCCTTTTAATTTTATATCACTCAAGTATCACAATAACTCAAAAATGTGTTGAATTTCTGGTGAGAAATCACTCCAACTACTTCTCCTACTAGTACAAAATTGACAACTAGTGCATTATTGTCATTTATTGGACTGCATTCTAAAACAGTTTTAAACCATCAAAATTCAGACAAAAACAACCAGCTTTGCATGTAAAGATACAACTACTACAATTATATTTGTAATTTTTACTGAGATGTTAGTTTTGTATTTGTTACATGACTAGTAGCTAGTCTTTCTCAGAGTAAACATTTTTCTATGCAAGAAAAATCACTGGGTTGGAAATGCAGGCAATGATTATGTCCTAAGTTCTCATATCACTGCGATACTATCCTGTAATGTCCCCTACAAGATGGTCCAAACACAGCAATAAACCAGATGGTTACTCAAAAATTCACGTCACTTTACCATCTGCTGAACTTCTCCGACAACACAAAGCAGTTATTAATGCTGCATACATGCCTTTAGGATTGTCTCAGTCCAAACTGCCATCAATTATAATACCCTGATAGTGAAACTATTCCTGTCCATTTCAGAATAGATTTTAAACTTTTATTATTTGTTTTTAAAGCTCTGAATGGCCTCGCTCCTTCTTATAGAACAGAGTTGTCGTTTCCCCGCTCGCTCCAGGTCTCTGAGGTCAAGACAGCCAGCTCCTGCTCTCTGTTCCAAGGACAAAATATAAACAATGGGGTGACTGTGCCTTTTCTGTGGCCGCACCTCAACTCTGGAATAAGCTCCCGCTTGACCTACGTCAGATTACTGAACTTGGCCCTTTTAAATCAAAGCTTAAGACTTTTTTATTCCAAAAGGCTTTTAGTACTTAAATATGTGGTGACATTTCTGGTTTTCTTTTTGTTATTGTGTTGTGTTTTTCTTGCTTTTAACTTGTTGTCATTGTAAATTATTTTAATTGCCGTTTTTGTTAAGCACTTTGGTCACCATAACCGTGGTTGTGTAAAGCGCTATAGAAATAAATAAATGAAATGAAATAAGTTAAAACTATAGTCAAGGCTTTCACTAGCTACTTTTGAAATTTCAAAATTGTTTGGACTGAAACGATTATAAATCACCTACCATCTAAAACAACTGGTACTGCAGAGAGTAAATTTCTTTACTTCTTGTACATATGAAAGTTTAAAGATTATTGTTTTTGAAATTATATTTTGAGATTTACCAATGCACAACTTTTGGGTCTTAACACACTAATGACAGAAACACTACACTAACCTCATGTGTGCCTTTTCCATTTCAATATGCAGTGTAGCCAACATCTTTTCATAGTTCTTCTCAGGGGGATCCCACATGTATTTCGCAAGCCACCTGCTGATTGGGTGCTGTAATAAAAAGAACAAATACATGTTGAAATGCTTGATCAAAACAGGTTATCAGTTAGGACATTTTTATTATGAAAGATAGTCACTGCTACAGTTGTAGAATACTAGTTATATCTGTGAATTCAAATAATTGTAGTAGAGGGATTTTCGCTCCAAAATTCCTTTGTAAAAGAACAACCATCCACCGATAAACAATAATAACACAGAAAGAATTTTGTGAATTTTATAGGCAGATAAAAACAAAAGGATTAGTCAAAGAAAATTATGTTGCCGTCTTTATTCTTTTATGCACAGCACTTTCAAATTTGAGGTATAAAAATTTAACATAGAAGCCTGTATATTGTATCATCCATCCATCCATCCATTTTCTTTACCCGTTTATTCCATTTTGGGTCACGGGGGTCGCCAGTGCCCATGTCCAGCAATCACTGTGCGAGGGGCGGGGTACACCCTGGACGGGTCGCAAGTCCATCACAGGGACACATAGAGACAAACGAGACAAACAACCATTCACTCTCTCACTCACACCTAGGGACAATTTAGAGTTACCAATCAGCCTAACATATTAATGTTAATAATTAATAATTATTTTATATTATTATAATTAATATTGTATCATCAAAAAGATAAAATACAGATGTTCACCAGAAGTCAGCAAAGAAATAAAACATTGAGGATACTTTAAACATACTGTGGTTTCATTTTTGAAATACAATGTAAGTTTGAAGCAGAGCAGAGATGCACACCTGGTAGTACTCCCAGTGCTCGGGTTCATAGCCTTCAGGAATTTCAGCAAGTTCTGCTTCACCTACGCAACACAATAAAACTTATCAATTTGTAGCTTAGCTACTTATTAAATTGCATCTCAAACATATCAAAGCACATCAGATGATCCAAAATACACCAGAAATTTTTTTAAACCCCAAAACATGTTTGCTCACCAATGAAGACATTCACTGCTGTGATAAATATTGCCATTGGAATTCCAGTCAGCAGTAAGTAAAATTTCTGCAAGAAAAACAAACAAACATGAAATAAATAAATATAAATAAATATACACCTACACATATATACACATACACATACAAACCGGATTCCAAAAAAGTTGGGACACTAAACAAATTGTGAATAAAAACTGAATGCAATGATGTGGAGGTGCCAACATCTAATATTTTATTCAGAATAGAACACAAATCACAGATCAAAAGTTTAAACTGAGAGAATGTATCATTTTAAGGGAAAAATCTGTTTTTTCCAAATTTCATGGCGTCAACAAATCCCAAAAATGTTGGGACAAGTCGATTTTTACCACTGTGTGGCATCCCCCCTTCTTCTTACAACACTCAACAGACGTTTGGGGACAGAGGAGACCAGTTTCTCAAGTTTAGAAATAGGAATGCTCTCCCATTCATGTCTAATACAGGCCTCTAACTGTTCAATTGTCTTGGGCCTTCTTTGTCGCACCTTCCTCTTTATGATGCACCAAATGTTTTCTATACGTGAAAGATGTGGACTGCAGGCTGGCCATTTCAGTACCCAGATCCTTCTCCTACGTAGCCATGATGATGTGATTGCTGCAGAATGTGGTCTGGCATTATTGTGTTGAAAAATGCAGGGTCTTCCCTGAAAGAGATGACGTCTAGATGGGAGCATATGTTGTTCTAGAACCTGAACATAGTTCTCTGCATTAATGGTGCCTTTCCAGACATGCAAGCTGCCCATGCCACAAGTGCTCATGCAACCCCATACCATCAGTGATGCAGGCTTCTGAACGGAGCGTTGATAACAACTTGGGCTATCCTTGTCCTCTCTGGTCCGGATGACATGGCGTCCCAGTATTCCATAAAGAACTTCAAATCGTGACTCATCTGACCACAGAACAGTCTTCCATTTTGCCACACTCCATTTTAAATGACCCCTGGCCCAGTGCAAACGTCTGAGCTTGTGGAGCTTGCTTTGAAATGGCTTCCTCTTTGCATTGTAGAGTTTCAGCTGGCAACGGCGGATGGCACGGTGGATTGTGTTCACTGACAATGCTTTCTGGAAGTATTCCTGAGCCCATTCTGTTATTTCCTTGACAGTGGCATTCCTGTTTGAGGTGCAGTGACGTTTAAGGGCCCGGAGATCACGAGCATCCAGTAGAGTTTTACGGCCTTGACCCTTACGCACAGCGATTGTTCCAGATTTTCTGAACCTTTTATGATGTTATGCACGGTTGATGATAACTTAAAAGTCTTTGCTATTTTACGCTGGATAACACCATTCTGGTATTGCTGCACTTTCTTTCTGCACAACAATGGTGGAATTGGTGATCCTCTTACCATCTTGGCTTCTGAGAGACACTGACACTCTGAGAAGCTCTTTTTATACCCAATCATGTTGTCAATTGACCTAATTAGTGTTAATTGGTCTTCCAGCTGTTCGTTGTATACTCAATTTCCTTTTTCCAGCCACATATTGCTACTTGTTCCAACTTTTTTGGGATTTGTTGACACTGAAATTTTGATTCAACATATTTTCCCTTTAAAATGTTACATTTACTCAGAATAAACTTTTGATCTGTCATCTATATTATATTACGAATAAAATATTGACATTTGCCATCTCCACATCATTGCATTCAGTTTTTATTCACAATTTGTTTAGTGTCCCAACTTTTTTGGAATCCGGTTTGTATATATTAGAGACAAAGAGACAGACAGAGAGAGAGAGAGCCAGAGAGAGAAAACAATGCTCTTTGGCAAAAAGTTGTATTTTAATGTTTGAATTTCTATACATATTTGTATATATCTATGTATGTATTCTATAGTTGTATTTTAATGCTTGAATTTATATAACTAGAAATGTAAAAGGGATTTTTAGTTCTAAACTATGTATAATTTCACTTTATAGCATTACAAGTGAAATGTTGTAAGTAATCCAAGTCAATATTGTATGGCTAATATAAAAGCCACCACTGCACCCTGTATTCACTGGTTAACTGGACATCATTAACTTCACGCAGACTCTCTCACTGGTACATTTTCATCTTTAAATCACTTCTTGGTCTGCTGCCTTCATACATCTCCTCCTACATGTCTCTGCGTGAGTGCAGCTACAGCGTGCGCTCTCAGGACATTATTACCTGCAGTGTTCCCTCAATGAGGACTAAACTAGGCAAAAGGGCCTTCTCCTACTCCGCTCCTGTTTCTTGGAATATCTTACAAAAAGATTTGAAGCTCTCGACCTTGACCTCTCTAAGTGGCTTTAAGAATCTGTTGGACTCCTGGCAGGGACCAATGCAGACATGTTCCTGTTTTTAGTTTTTGCCTTAGAATCTAGCTGTTTTGTTACTTTTCTTTTTTTTTAGCCATCTTATTTGTAAAAAAAAAATAATAATAATAATAATTAAAAAAAAAAATAAAAATAAAAATTGTATGACTTTTTATCACTGTTGATTGTTATCGCTGTTGTCCATTGTTGTCATCATTCTTTGTTGAAATCAGGTCTCTCTTGTAAATGAGTCCTCGAGGCTCAATGGGATTTACCTGTCTAAATAAATGTTGAATGAAAAAAAAAAAAAGCATCCACTATTAAACATTACTTATAAACCGAATGATCACATTTGAAAATACAATACATTGCAAAAAAGAGCTATGTAAAGTTTAACAAAAGTATAAGGTCACTTCCATCAGTTTGAATTGTAACAAAAACGCACTATGGCTACAAGAAATCCTACATTCCAGGATTTTTCGTTCTCTATTAAGAGCATCCTTTAAGGATTTAAAGCTTCACTTTAATATATATGTTACTGATGCACAGCTTTTAATGAAGATTAATGGTATTGAGAAACTTTCTTTGAGAAAAGTCACAGAGGTTGTGAAGGAAATGGAGTTTTGCCACTCACTGTTAATCTCATATTTCTACGGTCGTAGTATTTCGTGGATTCGATGAAGAACATTTTCTTCCCATGACCATATCGAACGGCAACTGAAAAATAAACACATGGATATGTCTGTCATTTTACTGATATTCTATACTGAAATAAAACTTGATAAGCTGTCACAGAGTGGCTGGTCATAACATTTCAAAGTATTTCTTTTAAGGTAACAGTAAATATAATGGCACTACTTCTAAATACTCCATGGAACTAAAATCTAGACAGTAGTATTATGCAATATTTTCTACTGTCTAAATAAAGAATCCAGCAATATTTTGTTTGTTAAAAGATTATGCTTTAAAACAAGTTTCATTTTACCGTTTTTGTGACATCGGCAAAAAAAAAAAAAAAAACTGCAGGTATAACGAAATGTTAACTTTCGTCAAAGTCGTCATGTCCAAAAGTTAATGAATCCAAGAGTATAAAAAAATACTGTATAGTTCAATTAAAATTGAAGTTAACAATATGTATATAGCTCCAAGAATTTCACTGGTTTAAGGGCAAACAACAGTGATTGAGAAATAACGATACGTTAAATAATTTGATTTAAGGAATTTTCTTAGGGCATAAATAAAAATAGAGTACTTTTCAAATCCATTATATTAATTAATGTGACTGTGAGCAAACTCGCTAAAAGTTAGTGTTGTTTACGTTTTGTTCATAGCGGAACACAGGTTAGCAGCTAGCTGTGTTAGCAAGCTAACAAATCCTAGCGCGAGGTCACACGCTAAACAGCCACTTTGACAATAAAACCTTTGAACAATTTAAGCCAGCCGCGAGTCTCTCACCTTTATCTACTTGTGGGATAGTTCGAGTGAGTATATTTGCCGCATTATTTCCAGCTTTCAGTGGCCTCAGTCTGGCTGCAAAAGCAGCAGCAGACCTCAGAAGGCTCATACCCACCATCTTTCTTCTTCTTCTTCTAGTATTGTTTTATGGCGGTTGGCAGACCAACTGTAAGGTGCATTACCGCCACCTACTGAGCTGGAGTGTGGGCAGAAGATATACAGGAGAGAAAAAAAAAAAAAAAA